CCTCCTCTCTCTCTCTTGCCCTCTCCTCTCCCTCGTCTCTCTCTTCCCTCTCTCTTTCTTGCCCTCTACCCTCTCTCTCTGCCCCCTCCTCTCTCTCTCTTGCCCTCTCCTCTCTCTCGCCCTATATTTCTCTCTATCGAGCCAATAAGAAGGAATCCATTCAAATGTTATATATTATGTATCAATTGTAATCAAATATATGTGAGACTTTTGTATTTTTTATTGTAATTGTATTCGAAAAATTTTATTTTGTATTTTTTTATCAATTGTTTTGTATTCATACGAATACAATATGCAATGATCCTCCCTATCAAATGAGGATGAATATCATTGTATTCGTTGTATTTCAAATACAATTTGATACAAAATAAATAAAGAATACAATGTAAAATAAATTCAAAATACAATTGAAACGAAACAAGTATAGAATACAATGCAAAGTAAATGCAAAATACAATCCTCTCTCCTCCCTCTCTCAATATGACTCATCTGTCTCCTCCCTCTCTCGATTCCGCTCGCCTCACTCCTCTTAATATGTTTTATTTAGATACAAATCAATTTGTATTTGTATTTTTTTTCCTCCAAAATTCGCAAGAAAATACACTCTCTTCTCTCTTCCAGATCTCGCTCGCTTCCCTCCTCGCTCCTTCTCTAGCACTTAGTTATTATTTAATAAATAAGCAAAGTACAACTATAAAATACCTAATGTTTGCTATTTTTGAAAGTTTTCCTTTTCAATTCAAGCTACATCATCTCGATCCATTTATTAGCCCAATTAGAACTGTATGGGCTCAATTCATTTTGACCCGTTTGTTTTTGCTTAGTAACTGAACCCGCTAAATTAGGGCAGCAACACTTTTTAGGCTGAAATTGTCACTTGTAAAAATCTCTACAAATAATCAGTAAATTAGTTCATATTCCCTCGGTTCCATTCTAACCGTTGTTTTAACTCTTCACGCCTATTAAAAAAAATAAACGTAAACTATATTTTATTGAGTTTTAAAATGTGTCAATGGAAAATGAAGAGTTACGACTTTTATAAAAAATTATGACTTTTATGAAAGATTGTGATATTTCCAAAATATTGTGACTTTTCCAAAGGTTTCTAACCTCTCCGGCAAGGCACAATAAGAATTTTTTCACACTACCCTTTAGTGGCAGAGCCAAAAAATTTAATGATGGGGTTCAAAATCTGAGAAGTAAACATACAAACTAGTGGGAGGGGGTTCGACATCTATAATACATACCGAAAAAATAATTTTAACCATATATAAATAGTAATATTATTTCGCTGAGGGGGTTCGGATGAACCCCTCATTATACACTGCTTCCGCCCCTGCCATCCTTTGTTTTTTATAAATTGAGGGATTTTCTCTCATTTTAGTTGAACCAATTTTTCTGAACTTCTTCTACTACAACTAAATCTAGTATTTTAAGTGTACTATACTATCATTGAGTGGTTTGCTGATATCGTGGTTTTAGGTACCGATACACCGATGAGTAAGATCGTTCTATCCTGGGAGGATATATTCCATTAACCTCGGGTACTTAAGGAGAATAATTTTCTTAAGGGGACACTCAAACATTTAGTGGGCTCGATTTTCTTTCTTTGAAAAAAATATTATTATATTATTTCCAATCTGTTTCTGATACTATTTTCTCTACTAGTTTTAATTTTCTAGCTTGAAAATACTTTTAAAACTTTGTTATTTTTTACCAAATTCTTCAAAATTTTGTTCTAAACATCTTTAAAATCTTTGTTAGAAATATAAGATGAACAACGTAATTTACTAAAGTCACTCTTATTTACTACTAGTTTTTTCACAAAATTTTTGAAGGGCAGAACATTTTTACACCCCACAAAAAAAATGAAGACTATTTTGTTTGGATGGAAATGGAATATGACAAGTAAGAGTTGTCATGCTGGCATAATTGAATGGCACATTATTTATATATGAATTGTATGTATCTAACTTGTTAGGAAAAATTAAGGCTCTTTGCTTTTGTATTCTACTAACCAAGTGGACAATGACTATACTTTTTTTTGGAAGCAAATGACAAAATCTTGAAAAAGTAAACTATAATATTAGTTGAAAAATGAAGTTCCTAACATTTTAATTGGAAATGACGTTTAGAATAATCTCTATAACCATTTTATTTTGTCTGCCTAGCTGTCCTAGCAGCATGAATTTTATAGTGCACTGCATCATGCATGAAATATTGTATAGAAAAAAAATTATAGCAACTATAATTTACTTTTTTTTATTTTTTGTTCGATATTTGATATTTATATTGGAGTCTAACTAAATTCAAATTTGTAATAAGTATAGTTCCTATTGTAAGTTGATTGTCTAAAATTATGAAATATATATCCATAGGAATTTATATTTAATTATAAAACTTGTGGCACATATACTTGGAAATATTCTTAAGGGAAAGGTTATGTACACATACTCTTTAGGTTACACATTTAATCTAGATATGTTATTATTGTCGCACTTTTATCCTAAAGGTTTTGATAGATTTTGATCTCATTTCTTGTCATATGTGGCTGAGTTTTAACTTTTAAACATTCGTTAACTAAAAATGGGTGTTTTAAAAATATTTTTAAGACTATATTATTCTTAATTAGAAATAGGCAAACAAAATTTTTAAAAGTTCAAATTTGGGAGTTATTGTATTTTTTCTGATTATGATATAGTTCGATATTTCATATTTATTTTTTTTGCCAGTATGTTGTTGTAATAACAAAATTTTCTAGTATTTTTATTAATGAGTAAGAGCACTTTATTAAAAGCCACTTTAAGTTTATGCTAAGAGTGGCCAATCAGCCAATCAATAATAATGTACAAATTTTTCCATTTTATTATGAACATTGTGCTTCTAACTTGATTACCCCTATCAATAATGAGTTTGGCCGGTGAGATCTATCAAATTCTTTTCGTTCTTAACTAGATATTTTTAAGACATCAGATCGACATCATATTAAAATTTTTTAATAACTTTCATTATTATATCATAATCTTTCTTGGTGTGAAGAGGATTTCATTAACAAATAACAATAGTGTATATATATAATGAATTTTTAACGTAAAGGAGATTCAATTAGATTCTTTCTTTCTTCTATTTGATTCCGCCATTATGAATAGTACATTTCCTTTTTAAATGAATCTTACGCGATGTAAATTGAAATTAAAAACGACCCCCAGCAAGCAAGAAAGATGCAATGTGCACTCAAGAAAACGCGTTAACCCATTGAAATGGACGTTGATTGGTAAAAAAAAGGACAAACAAAAAGAAACTAAAGAAATATAACTAACATTCCATAGATAATTGGATGCTAGTTTCCATACGCAATTTTATTTTTATTATTATTATTATTTTGTAATGAAGGAAATAGTAGTCAATCAGTAACTCTGCAGTAGGTAATTCCCAACGTGTTGAATACGATCAAAATTAACAATTTGACCAGCTTATAAAGACTTTAAGTTATGAATACATGATAATTGATCTAGATTAAAATCATGTTTGTCGTTATTGAAAGGTCAAAAAATATTTTAGAAAAACTTAAGCGTTAGAAAACTAGTAATTTATTATTTAAATCAATTTACAACAGTAATATATTTTTTCAAAATTTTACAAAACTAGTATAAACGTTGTTGATAGTAACGTATTAGGCCATCTATTAATTCTGCCAAGAAACAGACCAAAACTAACGGGGGACGGCGTTAAAGTTATAATACGTTACTACAAGTAACATTTTAGAGTTTAAGTTGGAATACGTTACTGAAAGTAACGTTTTAGAGTTTAAGTTGGAATACGTTACTGAAAGTAGCGTTTTAGAGTTTAAGTTGGAATACGTTACTGAAAGTAACGTTTTAGAGTTTAAGTTGGAATACGTTACTT